CCCTATAAACGGGTTGTGGTTGTGTGAATGGCGTGGCAAAAGTCGAATTCCTGGCCATAGATGGCGCCACTGAAAAACATGAACAATCGCACCCCCCACTGCCTAAGCAGGCATATGACAAAAAAAAATAATAATAATTTGACCCAATTGTTAGATCCACTGTAGTGTTTTAATAATTACATGTTTTGCACGAGTTTATATGCAATATATTTATATTTAAACATACATGTAATGGATTTTTATTCAGATTTTTTTTATATACTTCTTATTTGTATTTATTTTTAACGTATTGCATTACAATGTTAACCAATTGATACACGAACGTAAACAAGTACAAACCGGTTTCAGCCGAGGAAAAATATTACACATGTATAGCATAACCTGATAATTTAGGTTTTACATAAAAGATTATGTTGCGTCTAGTAATTTGGCCAGGACCTGTGTATATAAATGCATCTATTCTTTCTAATGTATTCTTTAAATTTATTTGTACTTAATTCAACTTTCTTTGCATTATTCATTTGGTATATTATAAGTAACTAATAAAACAGTTTAATTACTTTTCGTATTACAAAACAGTTTTGAAATATATTCTGCATCTATAATTCCTTCAACTAATTTTATTTTTTAAAAAAACGCAGTTTATTTCTTAAACTATTTACACCAAACTATTTTAATGAGTTCTCAAAATATATTTAATCATTCATATAATTATTTCAAACGTGAAAATAAAACAAATCTTTGCAGCCACACACAGTAAATGAATGGTGAAGTAAACATAAATTTAAATCTGATTTACAAGCCGAGAATTATTTAATCCGGCAGTACTCAGCTTAATTTCGGGGGAACATTTAATGGCTTAACTCGACCGAATAATTAATACCCATTATTGCGAATCTCAGCACTTCCGTCTGAGCAGGAAATTCACTTTAATTAACTCGGTTATGCGTTTCTCACAATTACTGCACGGTTAGAATGTTTTCAATTTGGGAGACTTCCTTTTTTTTTCAATATTTTTAATTCGGGTTTTTAAATTACGCGCAGAATGACTGCGATTGTTTAAACTAAGCGCATTATCTATTTGGATAGAATTACAATTGTTAGTCACTCAAATATTTATTTAAATAGACATTCTCTTCAGGATTAAACTTAAGGACATTGTAGGCAATGTATAATGCGCTAAAGAATAAAATAACTAAAATACAGTTTCTGGCCTAGATGCACTATTAGATTCTATGCAAAATTTTAATTACCAGGTGATACTATACAGCTTTGTTGTTTTTACTAGGATGAAACCGGTTTGCATTTGCTTATGCTCCTGTATCAATTGGTTAATAATGAAATGCAATGCGCAAAAAATAAATACCAATAATAAGTATATAAAAAATCTCCCTTATAAAAACGCATTACACGTATGTTTAAATGTAAAAGTATAGCCTCTAAACTCTTGCAAATCAAGTAATTATTAAAAAACTACACTGCGTCTAATGATTTGATCTAATTATTATAATATACTAATATAATGCTTAATACAATAAATACTCTATATTTATGTGGTATATTGTCTAATTTATATTATATGTCGTCTAATTTAACCAATTGATACACTAACGTAAATAGTGCAAACCGGTTTCTGTCACATAAAAAACAATAAAGCTGTATAGTATCAACTGATAATTAAGATTATACATAGAATCTAATAGTGCGTCTAATAATTTGACTAGGGACTGTATAAAAAATTTTTTTTTAAAAAAACGGTACACACTGAATATCTTTTGATCTAATGACCATATTTTCAGGTACTAGAACTCAACATTTTTAGTTCACGGGAATAACCTCTATGCTGATTAATTAGGGCAGACTATACTTAAAGTTACGAAATCATTCACAAAAATGTACTTTATCTGAATAAACATACCTTTTTTTTCGATAAATTCCTGGCCCTAAAAATATTGGGGGGGAGTGCCGCAATCTAAATAATATGGCAACAATGACTAGGTCAAGACAGCTGCCGAAAGTGTGGACCCCTTAATGTTAATTACACTTTTAGACTATTTCCCCGAAGTTTTAAAGCACAATAGAAAAAACAATTTTATTTAATTTTATAATAACCTTTGTTAAACAGCCAGACTCAATTTCGGGTTTCCGACTTCTAATGTTCAGCTCCATGGTCTTGTAACTTTCAACCCAGAAGACAAAGGAACTCTTGGGTCAAGTATTGGGAGAAGTTTGCCTTCGTGGAGGATTTTGTGATAAAATTAACCCGCATTTGCGTTACCTGGAGAAGAAAACCACGAAAACCTCCCACTGTTAGCATGACGGCAAGGAGAATGTAGCCCGTGATCCGTCTACTACTGAGGATATTTTACGTCAGTACTGTGGTTGGTGCAAGCTGGATGCGGAATTCGTATCGACTGGGATTGGAACCTGGTTCGCCTCATTGGAAGGCGAACGCTCTATCCCCTGAGCCATCACTGCCTCCATTGACTACTGTGATATACTGAAAACCGTGTCTTACTATTAGTCCTCTGTGAGAAGATAATAAATCAAAAGTTACTCAGGATATTCATTTTTTTCGCACTTTACACAATCTTAAAAGCAGCCATGGGTTTATGAATGAGACATAAAAAAATGAAGAATGAGATATAAAAAAAAGGATATTCAAAAAAGTGTTGTTTTTATTCACAAATTTATCAACTCACAAAAGCACAATCAATATTCACTCAAAATACATTTGAAAATTTATGCACATATATATGTATAGAAGCACCCATGATTTAATGACTAGGAAAAAAAAAATTGTTGTTTATTTATATTCCTTTTTAAAAGTGATCAAAAATGGAACTTAACAAACTTTATAAAACTGATTTGTAAAGCGCCATTTCCTATGCCTGTGTTAATATTTCGTATTTAATAGCAATTATAAAGTAATTTTGTGATTCAAATCCAGAACTATAACTCGTTCTTCATCACTAGTCGCTCTCAATTCATATTTGTTATTTTTTACTTACAAAAATAAATTGCCAATATTTTATTAGTCATCATTTTCCACAAGATAATTGCAATCATAATATCTCATTACAGTTCTTGATACAGGTTAGATGCATTCGTTTTTTAATATATAGGTATGTTAATATCGTAAGAAGATAAAAAAATTTCTAATTATTATCCAATACAAATGCTAAAAATATTTTTATCCTATTTTAAAAATTTGACATCTGTAATCGAAAGAGCTTAAAAAGATTAAAGAGAATTTTGAAAAAATATCTTAAAAATGAGAAGCTTAAAAATGAAAATTTATCATTGTATTCAAAATTTTTTTAAATAATCATTGTAGATCAAACTAACTTTTTTAATCAAATTTTTTAAAAGAAACGTTATTATGACTTAAGAAATGTAAGGAATGTTTGATAATTATAGAGACAAATATAGAAGATAATATCGAAACTTAGCGAGCAGACGTTAATTTGAAAGTCTCAATTAAAATCATTCATCCCTAACTCAAAATGGGATACCTGCAAGTGACGTAGTGTGGGCAACTCGATCCTGATTGGATATTGAAACGTGGCATTTGCTTACGTTAGCCACTGTTCCTTCTATTCTATTTCAAGTAAGCCAAGCCCCTCGAGTATCGATTCTCTTAAGTGATACATTCTAAATTCTTTCTCAAAGATTTCAATTCTTTCACTATATATTTGCATAGAGATTTAACACATAGGCAGACACGAAGCCTTATGGAACATAATCGAACTAATTATGCATCGAAGTTGCCAGGTACACAAAACAAAAATACATCACGGTAACAATAAAATATCTGTACAACAAATAAATCTAAGTTAAGTGAAACAAGTAGACGAGAAGGAATTATATTTCAACAAATTCGATGTGCGATAAGGCCTTGTATTTAATTATCTTATCGCTAATCAACATTCTAACTCATGTAGAGAACTTAGCTCAACTTAAATACGCCATTTTGCTGATAAAGATAAGCTGGATACATGTGTTGGTATGAGAGGTCTTCTTCTTGAAGTGAAGTACCCAATTGGGAAAACGCGTATGAATTTTTTCAATTGCATAGAATGAATATAGCACACGTGACCTGCTGAAAGAGATAAGTTTCTTCGACAAGCAACTCCTTCACTTCAGAAATAGAATGAACTAATATTACTGTTGAATTAGGAGACCTGTCACCATCGACTAGCGATGGAACGGGTTCGGAGAAATGCGTTTCAGTTGTATAAGTGTGCTATTGACCGATTTTTTTTTATGATCTCGTAGATGAAATATGTTTTACATGTGGTAATGACTACCACCAGAGACAAGGTTATAAAAATTGATTACTTTGGTTAAATTAAACATCAATTCGCATGGCTCATTTTCAAAACATTTTCTTTGAGGATAAAGTGCAGATTTCATAAACGACACGTGATAACTTGCAAACATTTCTCTTTAATCAAGCTCGATTAACGATAAAAATGACGTTCCTTTTTTTGACATTATTGCAGTACACTTTTTTTATCAATTTAAGATTACATTTTCAGTGCACTTTTTACAGATATAGAAGCTTTAAAAGGATATAAAATATTTTGTTCTGAACGGCTGCATGAGGAGTTTAAATTTTTCTTAAATAAAAAAAAATTGCTTACTTTTTTTTTATCCTTTGGCAAAATGGGTGTTGTTTTGAGTTTGATGGCGTGGGCACCTTATTTGTATGTCATCACACTTTTCAACTGTGTTCAAGAGTAATAGTAAACAGTGCGCATGCGTGGTCATTGCATGCGTTGCTATAGCTACCGCTGCTGCTTGATAATTTTTTTTAGAATTCTTTTTTTCACTTTTAATTTTGTTATGCATTAAGTGGGTGAGCTTAGTTTCGAGATATGGGACCAGAGAGATTCCATAAATACTTCTTGAGTTGTGAATAAAAGAGAATTTCATCGTTTGACCGATATTTTTGCTTTTATTGTTTTAATTAGGAATCAGAAATTTTCTAACCTGCAGTTCAAACTGGAAAAAAAATTAGACAACACCCATTTTGCCAATGAGTAACCTGTGTCGCTTTTTCTAATTTTCGCAAAGGTGATGGCAGTTATATGATTGTCATCATCTAGGTTATACCGATAGCATTGCAACAAATAAGTTTCATAATTTTCCGGAAATGGCATTTTATAAATATAATTAACTTTTCCATAACATTCGACTTACACAGCTTTTAAATTTTTAATTTTTTTTCTGTCCAATTGCTGTTTCTATCCATTTCTTTATCTCTTTTAAAAATGCAAAGAAAATTTAAAAAGTAATGTCTTTTAAATGAGCAATATCAGGCATCAAACTAGTATTCCGTTCCAAAAATAATGTTTTTTGAACCATTGGATGTTACCAATAGCAAAAGCAACAAACTGGAATCGAAAAAGCAACCACTAGTGCCAAAAAGAAATATGTTACACAAGGTCTCAAAATACTCTGTCTTAAAAGTGATTGCTGAGAACTGTTATTTAGCACCAGTTATTTTGCGTCTGTAGAGACGGTTGCTTGTAACTGTTATTTTTGGAACGTGAAAAGCTGGAACTGTTATGATGACGCATCTCTAAAACAAATCAATATTCAGAGCGAACGACATGAGCTGTTATGTGTACAGATGGAACATATTTAAACAGGTCACTCAGGTGATGCCGGTCAAGCTGAAGAGGAGAAGAACTGCAGTGACCCAGCGATGATCGGAAGACATAACGGATGATGAACTCCTCTCTTTCCATGGCTGGAATGCTTGTAGAGGCTCAAGGAGATTAGCACTTGCATCAGATTTCCTGATGATGAATACAATACAGTAATTGAAAATCATGTATAAAGCAGTTTAATACTACAATTCTAAAGGAAAGTTGCGCAAGCGGCAGAAATTCCATAAGAAAATTGAAACCAATAGATTCATCAGATGTCATAAAAACACAAAACCTTTTCTATAGAGAGAGCAAGACAAATGTCTAAAAATTGCTCTCTCTCTCTCTCTGTACACCAAAGGTTTTGTAAAAAGTCCAGGAGGAGAGAAAAGACATACGAAAGTAAATTACATTGCTGAATAAACCTACTTAAAAATAGTCCTATTACAAACCAAAGAACACAACTTTCAGAAGCTTTATTCAACTCGGCTTTTTTCAGCTTTCAAACCAAAGCATACAACTTCTATCATCTTTAAACAAACTAGGAAACATTGAAAACAAACTAGGCCTACTAATGCGCAGAAGGAAAAAAAAAGAAGGAAAGGGAGGTTTGGTTTGTAATAAGACTATTTTTAAGTAGGTTTTTTCAGCAATGTTTTCCTTTTTAGGGCCGGGATAACCTGGTTGGTAGGGTACTCGGCCCATGTCCAAGAGGGCGTGGGTTCAATCCTCGTCGGTCTATGACTTCCCGTGCAGTAAATGGTGACTGATGCACATTAAATCTGTCTAGTCACAAAGTCCTCCATGTTCCCATGACAATTCATACCTCTGGGGGTACTGATCCAGGAGTTTCCTTGTCTTCTGGAGTGGGTTCAAAATTACAAGGCTCCGGAGTTGAACATTAGTAGTTGTGAACCCAAAACTGGGTGGGCTGCTCAATGACGTTTATAAAATACAGATTATTTTCCTTTTGTAATTAGTTTATGTAATTTACTTTTGTATTTTGTTTTTGTATTATGCACTTCTTTTCTCTTTTTCTGGACTTTTTACAAAACATTTGGGGAACAGAGAGAGCAATTTTTAGGCATTTGTCGTGCTCTCTCGGTAGAAAAAGTTTTGAGTGCTTATGACTTCCGGATCCGGTCTGGTTGGTGGATGACTATTTTCATTGTTTTCTTCTCAATAATTTTTAAAGTGCAATAACAGTCATATAACGAGAATTCACACTGACGCCTTTATTAATATTGAAAAAGCTAAGATAAAATAATCATCCTTAACAGCTACTTTAAATTTAACTAGGAGGCTTCGCCCCCTGCTCGCTAGTGCTCGCCAACCCCCGGAACTGCTTTCGCAGATCATTTCGGATGGCTTCGCAATCCGATGCTCGCTTTACTCGCTCATTGGATACGTTCTTAACGTCTAGCTTTTGTATACTTTTTTGAACACTGAAGTTCCGAAAACTTTTCACTGTAGAAAATTCTAAACCTGTACATTTAAATATTAATTTGAAATTGCAAACAGTTCACATATTTTTCTTAATCACACTATTCTAAATTTCAGTTGTTGAGAAAAGTAACTGTTGTAAGTTTTGTTTTAAAGTCTTTCCCACAAAAGGGCTAAAGCCATGTGTTGTAAAACAATATGAAATAGTAGTCTGCCACTGAACGCCGGATGTAAAATTTCTTTCGAAACCAAAGCTTCTCTGTGGATCATGCAATGTGTCCAGACGCATTGAGGCGATTTTTGTTTTACTAGTGCTTGTATACTTTCGAACCTTCCNTGCGCATAAGCTGCAAGTATGTAGAACTCATAAAATAAATTGAAAAATGGAGAAAGTATGGAAAATAACAAAAAATTATGACAAGAGAAGAAAAATTATTAAAATTATTTTTTGAAAGTATTTAAAAAATATTTTTTATTTATTTTTTATTATTTATTATTCTTAAAAAAATATTAAAAATCCGGAAAACGAAATGAAGAAAAGATTGGATAGCACTCATTTTTGCGGATATAATCGTGTGAGCTGATGAAGAAATTAAATTTTTTCTTTATTTTGTTTTCCGGATTTAAATTTTTTTTGTATAATTAATAATAAAAAAATAGATAAATAAATAAAAAATATTTCTTAAATACTTTTAAAAAATTATTTTAATCATTTTTCTTCTCTTGTCCATTATGAGAAAGCTTTTTACTTTCTGCTGAAGGCAGACGAATCGAGACGGACCCATAACTCATTGAATCGTCTGGATGACTGCGTAGTGGTTATGGGAGCAGTTGTAGATTCCAATATCCGCTTCAGAGCCTGAGATCTTTGCAGAAAATGATATCGGTTGGAACGTCGACCCTGGTTTTTTCGAATGGGAGATACTGTCTCAGATTCTACACTTTTCTTCGATTTGCTACAACAAACAAAGTATTCAAATCATTCCATTCATTCTTAAAACTGTAAAAACTTGATCAAGTCAGTAAAATAAAAATGGTAATTAGATCCACCAAACTCTTTTTCAATAGCATAATAACGACAACTACTCAGGAATCAACCCGTTTTTAATCTGTCAAGAAGAAAAAATTTTAATAATTCAAATTAATTTAAATAACTTAGTATAATTAATTTTAAATGTCCAAAAAATTTACATCAGTACTTTTATTATTGTATAAGTCTCAAACTTTAACTATTATTAACAAAAAAAAAAGTATTATTAAGAGAAAAGTATTAAGATGCAAATTCAGAGCTTTATTAAGAAAGGAGGTAATATTTTTCAAAATTATCAAGTTCTATAAGCAAGTACATGCCCTTCATCATTATATGATGTTTTAAACTTAAAAATTAATTATTTATTTAATGCTCAGCGAGGAGGGTAAACTTTCTTTTTTTATAAAAATAAGCATGACTTTTGTAATTAAATTGAATAGTACTTAAAATATTTTTATTGCATGATTAAATTCAATAATATTTAGTCCTTAACAATTTAACAAATATAATCGAATTTATTTTTCGCCCCCAACTTCTTTCTTTACCATTATATCGCCCCATTCAACATATTCTTCCCTAAAGTTTGAGGGGAGCTTAATCGGTATTTTACGGTTTATCTGATTGAATATTTAAATGGGGCACGTTAGCTCAAAAATCCATATTACTTACCAAATCCTTTCAAGCAAATCAAGCAAACCAATTTACATACTTTCTAGAGTTTGTCGGGAAAATTTTTTTTTAATGTATGTTGAAAGCATTCTTAAAGCCATTTAATTTTAAATCTCAAAAAATATATTGACTCTCTATAACAGCGCTTACAGAAATAAATATTTTGATAAAAATGTTAAAAATTAATGGTAACCAATCAGATTGGATGTAAAAAAATTTGAAATTATTTACGTAATTATTGTTCATTCGTCCAGATTTCATTCAAAAATTAAAAAGATTTAGTGAATGGAACAAAATATTGTACAAAGACAAATATGACTTATTGCATGCAAAACCATTTTTTTCCTTCCATTTGGCGAAAATGGTCAACGAGATAGTAAGCAAATATCAAATTTTTATCAAAACATTTTTACCAGTTCATGCTTATGACTGCTCACTCGCTTGATATATTTCTGTTTTCAGTTCTTTTTTCCCAACGATTACCTGGTTTTTTACTTTTTTTCAACAAAAAAAATATACACATCAGCGTTTTACATTCTTTTTTTTTATCCTATTGGATTTTTCTGAAATTGGAAAAACAATTGAAAGTAACAAACAAACAGCATGATTCTTACCTCTTTGGTATTTTTGCACTGACTGACACGTGTTCAATTTCAAATCCTTGAGCTTGAATAAAATCCAAAACCGTATTGTTCCCTAGAAAATGACCTGAAAAATATAATTCTTTTTAATGAATATAATATCAGTATGAGCTTGAAATCATGCTTCTATGTTAATTTTGCGCTTTCTTACCATGCACTAAAAACAGATTGTGTTAAATAAAATTTATAAGCCATTTTGGAAGAATTCGAATTCGAAATTACCTTTGCTAACCAATTATTAAAAAAATAATTTATTTAAAATTAATTCACGCTAACTACTAACCTATCATCTGAGCCGTGATGGCTCAGGTGATAGAGCATTCGCCTTCCAACGTTGTGAACCGGGATCAAACCCCAGCAATGGTTGGTCGATACGAATTCCGTATCCGGTTTGCACCAACTTAATAACCGGTCTGTACCAACGTAAATTATCTTCAGTGGTAGATGGATCATGGGTTAGAATCCCCTAGCCGCCAGGCTAACTCTGGGAGGTGTTTGTGGTTTTCAAATGCGGGTTAGTTCAATCAAGAAGTACTAAATGAAGGCAAACTTCTTCCAAAACTTGATCCAGGAGTTCCCTTGTCTTCTGGATTGTATTCAAAATTACAAGGCATCGGAGCTGAACATAAGTAGTCGTAAGCCCTAAAATTGGGTCGTTTGTTCAACGACATTTATTAAATTAAATGCTTCCATCTGAGTAAGCTTACATTCCCAGTAACCGATAATTTTATTACAGAAAAATGCGGTAAGGTAGAGGTAAAATAAATCAAATAATTTTTTTTATGTAATGAATAAATGCAAAAAAATGTTTTAGAGTTATCATATGCAGTAATAAATACATGACTGGACAGTTTTACAATAGTTTGTAAAGGAAATGCATTTTAATGTTAGAAAAGTCGGTCGCGTTTAACCCTGATGCAAATCTAAAATAAATAAAAAAAATTACAAACATTTCAAACTAAATAAAGAAATTGTTTCAAAGGAAATTCAAACAATACGTTTTCTGGAAATATTTGTAAAAAAGTGTTCTTTGTTGGATTATAAACATATTCTTCTAAATAAGTGCTGTTGATTTAGTTCGAAAATCTAAGTAACTCATTTTTTTTAATGAATTAGGGCAACTATTCAATAAGCAAGAACTTCGAGTTCACAACGAATTTTTATTTATTTCATATCAGCCTACCCAATTTTTGGGTTTACGACTATTAATGTTCAACTCCATGGCCTCGTAATTTTAAGCCCAATCCAGAAGACAAGGGAATTCCTAGACAAATTTGCCTTCTTGGAGGAATTTTTGATGGAGCTAACCCGCAATTGCGTTACATTGGGAGAAAAACCATTAAAATCAATTAATTAAAAATCACCTTACTGTAATTGACGCTAATTTTTAGCGTCAATTGTACTTCCTTACACTTGGACTTCCTTACACTATTTAACTGCGTTCATAAGTAATAGAAATCAGTGCGCATGTGTCGTCATTGCATGCCTTGCTATGGCGTCCACTGCTGTTTGATAATTTTTATAGAATTCTTTTCTTTTTTATTTCGATTGGTGACTATTACCAAAACTAATTACTTAATCATTGGAGTCAATAATAGTGCAGAAATTTTTCACGGTTCTTCTAAAAAAATTTATAATTTTTCTCGATCTGCTTTGCTTTTTAGTACTATATTTTTATTTTTAATTTCAAATAAAAATTATAAAAATTAATTGTTATAAAAATTATTTGCTTACATTGAATTGCTCAATTGAAAATTAATTATTATGAAAATTAATTGTTCATCATTGGTCATTTTTTTTATTTATATTAGTGTTTGTTACTAAATTTAATAAAACATCACTGGCGTCAATATTAGTTTGCAAATAATTTTTTATGGTCTCTTAAACCAATTAATTTCATTTCTCCATTAATTTTGCTTTTTGGGGATCTAACGGGATAGGGGGCCTGATGGAGAGGGGGCTCAAACTCATGATGACCACTGAAAATATTTTGCATCAGCACTGTGGTCGGTGCAAGCCGGATGCGGAATTCGTATCGACTAGCCATTGCTATGATTCGAAACCCGATTTACTTCATTGGAAGGCAAAAGCTATCCCCTAAACCACCGTGGCTCAGTTCACAACTATTGATTCAAAACTATATGTTTTGAAAAATGACATGAATTATATTGAATGACAACAGCTGGTCTGCTGAAAACGATCAGCAAATGATCGCCCATCAAGTTGACGCAAACTGTATCGATTGTATTATGTGTCTGCAGTAAAGGACTTCACCCAAATAGTCCAAACAAAGAAATATTTTTCTGATCCTCCAAATGTGATAATAAAGTATTCAATTCTTCTTGTTACCCAAAAGAAATTATATTTCTGGTCCCATCAGATAGAACTGCTGCTGTCATTTTCTTTATTGATTATCATCTTTTTTTTTCTCATATATATTTGGTTGGGAACATTTTCTCATTGATGTCCCAAAAAAAAAAAAGAAATATCTGAGATATTCGTGTTATGTTAGGACCGCCTGAGAATCTTGGAAATTAAAGAGATCGGTTGCAACTCTTGGAGAAAAATAGTTATTCCATTATCGACTTAGGTTTTGCTATCAACTAAGAAAATTATATGTAGAATGTATATCCATCTAGTACTTTCCTTCATAATTTGTTCACAAAAGTTTCAGCATTACCATTATTCTATCATCTGCCCTGTACATATTAATATAGAATATATTCTATCATGTGTTCTACGTTAATATGGCGTTCTAAAATAGACTGACAGTTTTTAAAACTTTATAATAGGCGAATGGTTAAGTTTCAAAAAAAATCTTTATGCAAATTCATGATGCAGAGCATTGCCGCTGTCATAAGGAAATTATATAAGATAAAAGTAGTTCAATTGAATCCTTGTTCCTCACATACAAATAATAATAATAATAAAAAATTTAACAACTATAAATTAGAGAAAACAAATTCGTTTCCGTTTTAAAACAATCTATTATCTATGATGATAAAATTGAAGATTGTGTTAAAACTCTAGCACCGATTGTAAAATTTAGACAATGGTAAGTGGGTACTTTTCTTACGTCGCACTAGAGCTGCACAAATGGGCTATTAACGACTGTCTGGGAAACATCCCTGAGGATGATCCGAAGACATGCCATTGCAATTTTTGATCCTCTGCAGAGGGGATGAACCCCTTGCTATGGTAAACCGACGACCTGCGCGAAATAGAGCATTTTACGGTAGAACAGTTTCACGAGTATCTATACCGCTTACCCAATCCCGACGCTTGCTGATCAAAGTGGTCACCCACCCGCTTACTGACCGCAGCCAGTGATGCTTGACTTGGAACCTTGTCTAATCTAACGTTCTCAAAAAATCCTCCACGAATGCAACTTTCTCCCAATACTTGTCCAAGACTTCCCCTCCCTTCTAGATTGGGTTCAAAATTACAAGGCTACGGAGTTGAACATTAGTAGCTATAAACCCAAAAAACTTGGTCGGCTGTTCAACGACGGTTATAAAGTAAAATGCATATATACCCTTGCAGCTAAATAACTTGGGCCCGCATTGGAGCAATATTCACGAATCTTGGCTTAATACAGGGCTGTTATTTTTCCGATATTGGCCCTAGATAGAATTGGCCTATTTACCCGAGATTTTACAGCCACTTTACAATCCATATAGGCTCTATATAGAGTTGTCAGACTAACCCGTTATTTTACAGTCATCATTCGTCAAACATAAGCCCTATATTGGTTTAATATAGGCCGATATTGGCCCTATATAGGAGCAATATTAAACAATCTAGACATCCCAATATTGGTCAATCGGTGTATGCTCATATAGGACTGATAGCGAGCAAATTTTGAGCCCAACTGAGTCAAGGTAAAATTGTTGCATGGGTAATATTGATGAAACTGATTTTTACGGTCGCTCGAAAGGAGTTAGTATCAGAAAAATCAGAAATCGTTTAATTGTGGCAAATTTGGAGCAACGTAAGTTGAACTTGAGCATGATGCTAAATGATACAGAAAACAGTTAATCTTTATTTCGATGGGGTTAACTACCAAAAACGCGTTTTGCTTAATCTAGTAAAGTAAAGCTACCGTGAAGGAGAAAATATAATTTTCAAGAAAAATTGACATTATTTTTAGCTTTATTAATCGATGATTTCGTAGTATTGTTCAAGACTATTAGTTATTTTCTCTTTTTTTTCCAGCTTGCAATTAGAATGAGCACTCAGCAACTATTCAATTAGAGATGTATCAAAGATAGGAATTATACGACAGAGAGTAAAAGAAATAAATTGTCAAGAAACGAATGTTCTTATTTTTCCGCATAATGTATTCCATTATTAAATCCATCGGAAAGGAATTAGGCCTTATTAATAACTGCAGTTCCTCTTTCAATTTAAATGAAAAATGGATTATGTAGAGTAACGGAGGAAAGTCAAATCAACAAACCCCGGATTCAAAACAAAAAAAAAATAAGCCCAATCAGAAAAACAAATAATGGAATTTTTCCTTAAATCTCATTATTTTCGGATTGTTCTTAACTTCTGTCTGGGATCGTTATCATAATCTCTCTTCTTCCCTAATGGAGCTCCTTTTTTGAAAGGGGGGAAGGCATGTCACAAAGAAGCAATTTCAATTCCATAACCATCGAGTCAGCATAAGAGATAATTGAATTTCGTTTATGGAATGTATGAATATTTATTTTCCTTCTTTGGGTATACTAACCTTTTCCCAAAGATTCATCCCAGTAGGGAAATCATTTGTTACACCATCTCAGTTACGGTTAAAGGGATTCTTTTTTATGCTTTAAGCCTAAACCAATTAAAAGGAATTCGATCGCATCCTCCCATCAGATAGTTTAATCGCAAACTCTTCTTCTTGTTTGCTTCTTTTTTAATGTAAACTTTCTAAAGCTGTACTAAAATATATATCTCCTATTTATCATTCTATAAATCAATAAAAGATAAATCTTTCTGTTGTGTTCTCCAAGTTTGTTTTCGCCATAGACTTTTTAAACATGCTATATGTACACTCTATAACAAAAAAAATCGACGCACCAAGAAGGAGTTGTCCGCTTGAAACGAAAATTGGTGGATAGGAAGACAATGTACAGATTAGTAAATGAACAAAATTTCAGAACAATTGAATAATTTATTGCAGAGTTACAGTAACAAGTTCAATAAGGTGTTTCAACTATTCGGTAATGAAATTATTATCAAAAGTATATTATTTGCCCGATTGATAATTTTATATAAATTAATAAAGGAATACTCACTCCGATAATTCCACCCTTTGATGAAACACACTTCAGTTCATCCTTGCACGGACATCGGACTTTGAAAACGTGTTTCTTGAAAAGGTTCTTCAGGGGCTTCATTTCACAAATTTCATCTGAAATGCAGTGGGAAAAAGTGCAGAATTACAAGTGCAGTTCGAACAATCATTAATTTAAAAATTTAATATACCAGAAAAAAATGCCCAAAAAAAAAACAGTATATCTACTTGAAAATAAGCAGAAAAAGGAAAAATATACCAAAGTGTAAGGTATTAAAGTTAAGGACAACAAATCCTATACAATTAAAGTATGAAGTCCATATCTGCATTATGCATCAATTTTCCTATGGTTCTTAATCATAAATAAATAGTGTTGGAAATATTGGGCAAGAGTATGCCAGATCACGAACCTTAAAATCATCTATACCGGGAAAGTGAAAATCGGAAGATAATCTTTAATTTCGAAAACATCAATATTCTGAATTTAAAATTGCACGAGACTCGTAAACATTATAAAGAGCAAGGTTTTTACTGCATTACCTAAAAATATATTATTTTATTCACAGATAGATAATTAGCTAAACAACTTTGAGCTTTAATCAACTAGGGGTCGGTAATTCCTTCTCTAAGCCGTTTCAATAAACCAAGGACTAGTTTATTCTAGGTATATCCTTTCATTTAGGTTTTATTCGTAATTTATCAGTATAAACTTTAATGCCAAAAACCATTTAAAGCGTACTCGATTGATAAAAGTAAAAAATACTGAATACTTGAAGAGCTTATTGGAAAAACATGTGAACTGACATTTTGAAAACTCTGTTTTCCAGGTTTAAGAACAAACTTCAGATGGTTGCAAGTACAAACCATTAAATTATTCGGCTAAATCGAATTTCCGATGGAAGAAAGTAATTTAGCAAAAGTTTTCAAAAATATACCCAACTTTATTACGNATATATATATGAAATTGATATGAATATATGTATATGAAATTTGATACGATGTATCGTTAAAAGAATTAATAGAAATATTTGAATTAAATTAAAGAAAAAGAAGACCCACGATTATTGTTGAGGAAGTTATGACCAACTAAAATCAAAATAAAATAAATTTTTAGTGGGTTAAGTTCTCACATCCCAATCGAAAACTTATAAAATCACGTAGTTCCATAAGCAAATTTTCTGCGAGCTTCAAAATATGGAACTTATCTAATTCGGTCTTGCAGTTTCCAGAAAATGCGTCATTTGGAGCTACCTCGACAACAAACTCCTTAAATGGCCGGATTATTATTTCAGCACGAAGGCAGAAAGTTACTCACTTACTGAATGTAATATAAACTTCTCCGATCATTCTACTTCTTGGGAATAATGCTTATGTGATAAAATTTATTTTCCATTTGTTAAAGCTAACGGGCCGAGGAAATTTATGTCAAAATCTGTTTCTGATTGCAGAATTTTTGGAAGACTATTTGAATCGTTGGCTCAAATATTTTTTGAATGAACTGAATTCAAATTTGAATTTGGAAAATAATAAGTCTCGCAGCTTTTGGTGGATGCTTTTCTGAATCCATTATGCGTTAACTTTCGTCCTCTTCTTTCAAAGATTAAGAAAAGTTGACGCATATGGTGTTGTGCTTACTGTTACGGATAATAATGGAAGCAGAATATTAAAATTTAACTATTTAAAGGAGAAAAAGAATGTTGTTGTGTTTTGTTCCCCACAAATTTTAATGAGGAAAGAGGAATGAAACCCGGATGCTCTACATTTTATGTAAATTTTTAGAACAATATGTTACATATTGCAATTTAATTAATAAAACTGAAATAGTTTCATTTGCTTCCAATTCTTATTTCGGTTATTACATAATAAAACACGTTTCTAGCAATTCATCCCATTAAAATACAATATTCTATATCATTTGTTATAAAGCTGTTATTTGAGACAGATTCATAATAGTCAAAATGTACTACGGTATATATACCTTTCAAAGGATCGTAAAAAACATTTTCCTTAATATTGGTGAAGTTTAGATAGCATCAAAAATGCTAATATAATACTTTCTACCTATTAGTATAAGATATTTGATACCGATTCAAACAACACCATTTACCGTGATATTTGTCTAGCCTTTTACGAAAACATTTTAAGCATCATTGGCGTCAGCGAAAGTTTACGTTTCTATTATACGAATACCTTCTCAGCATTAAATTTGCTTTTCAGCACACAGCTTTTTCTTAATATTAATTTGTAGAATCGTGATGGATAGAGCGTTTGCCTTCCAATGAGGTGAACCGGGTTCGAATCCCAACGATTGCTGGTCGAAACGAATTCCGCATTCGGCTTGCACCGACCATAGTGCTGGCGTAAAATATCCTCAGTGGGAGACGGATCGTGGGTTAGAGCCTCTTCGCCCTCAGACTATTCGTGGGAGGTTTCGTCTTTTTCCCTCCATCTAAAGTAAATGCTGGTTAGTTCCATTAAAAAGTCCTTCACGAAAGCAAAATTTCTGCCAATGCTTGGTCTTGGAGTTCCCTTGTCTTCTAGACAAGGCTATGGAGTGGAACATTAGCTGTCGCAAACTCAAAAACTTGGGTTGTCTGTTCAATTACAATAAATTTAAATTTAAAAGAAAATAGTTCAGCTCTAGCGCGACGTAAATAAAATACCTACCTAATATGATTTCTAATTAATGATAGCAGTAATATAGTAAACCATGGTTAGTTCCATCAAAAAGTCCTTCACGAAGGCAAAATTTGATCCAGCTGTTCCTTTGTTTTCTGGATTGAGTTTAAAATTATTAGGTTATGGTGTTGAACATTAGTAGCCGTAAACCCAAAAAAATTATGTCGGCTTTTCAACGGCGGTTATAAAATAAAATATCAATTAGTACGAATTAACAAATTTATTGAAACATTATAGTGACAGTAATGCTACTTTTTACATTTCCTTCAACGAATTAGTACTATTTCATTTACTATTAGTACTATTATTTTTTGACGAATTAGTACTATTTCTTTTACTATTAGTACTATTATTTTTTAACGAATTAGTACAATTTCTTTTATTATTAGTACTATTATTTCTTTTAACGAATTAGTACTATTTCTATCGAATTAGTACTAATTCTCTATTCTTAGTACTATTCATCAATTTTGCTCTTCTGAACATAGCTCATTTTTAATTTCGATTAGAACCGATTGACAAAATTATTCATTCTTCATTGCCGTTAAATAATCGTATGACTCCCATCCACTAACTGACCGCTATCAGTGATCCTTTGGTGATCTACTGAAAACCGTGTCATTTGGTCAGTCCACTGAGGGGCTAAAAAAAGAAAAGAAAAGAACTGACCTGCTCCGAAAGCGAAGAAGAGGCTCTGGTTGGGATTGTGCCGTATGAGATGGGCCACCCTCACCCCCATCCTCAAGTTACGGCTGTAGATGAGCTCTTGCCTGAAATAATGGTCAATGTTCTTGGCCAGCGATAATTCCTCCTCAGAGAGAGAAGAGTTGCGTCGGCAAAGTGCTGGCAAGGGTGCCGTGTCTTGTCCAGCATTCAAATCACCACAGTTATAATGGCGGATCAAATCGTCCGTCGTGTACGAGGGTTCGTCCTGATGCAATTCATGCTGGAGGAGGGTGTGGTTCAAAGCAAACAGTACCTAGAATAGATTTCATTATACAATCTACAGTGCGCACCACTTAGTTACCTTTATTTCGTGCCTGAACTGGTCTCAAAGAAAAACCATCTATCACGAAAAATCTTTAACAGTTGCCATTGCATATGAAGAAAATACGACTGCAAATAATTAATTTTCGATATGGATCAATTAAAGCTAGATTGAGCACAGATAATGCTACGTTTCTTGTCTTTTGGATATTTTTCAAGTCAAAAGTTTTGATGGTTTTTCATTGATGGACCAACATAATCTTGATGGTAACCATCAATAATTCCATCATGAACCATTATATTTTTGATGGTAACCATCAATAATTCCATCTTGAACCATTATATTTTTGATGGTAACCAACATAAGTAACCATCATCCTAAAGTAGAAATTCGGACTGATTTATGATGATTCAATATAAGAATAGCAACTTGTTTTGATGGTTTGTTCATGCTTAACCATCAGAAATTTCCATCATTGTTTCTTAGAAATCAAATTCTGGAAATCACCATCACACCCAATGTAGGAATTCAGACTGATTTTTGATGGGTCAACATATTAAAAAAATGTTTCGAGGGTTATATTCCTGCTGAACCAACAATAATTATAATTAAACCGTCATGAAAACGGATTGTTGTTCTATTTACCATCACGAATTTCCATCAGAGTTCCACAGAAATAAAATGCTGGAACGATTATGAACCACCATCACCCCAATGAAGGAATTTGAACTGATTTATGGTGATCCAACATTAAAAAAAAAACAAATTGCTTTAATGGTATATTCCTTAAAACCAACAATAATTGACTTGGATAATAAAGAAAAAAATACTCTTTCTAACATTAATAATAAAGAAAACATTTTGAAGTTTCATGCCATTATAAGCTATAGTATTGGTTACAAGTAAGTAATACATGAAAAACTGTTTAAAAGGTTGTTTTAAAATAGTCAATTCAATCATTTTACTTTTTAGGCTTTGACTTTTCAAAAATGTTAAGGAACATGGATCAATATGGACATATTATGGAGGAATGTAAACAAGTTTTACGAAGCAAATTGTTTATAAAAATGAGATGAATCGAAAAATGTCTTCCTTTGTCTTTACATAGAAACCAACAGTCAGCTAATTATAAGTATACCTAAGTATATATATACACCGAAGAGCCATTACATTATGACCACCCTGCTAATAACATGTAGGATCACCTTTAGCCCCCAAAACTGCTAGCACCCGCAGTGGCAGTGATTCCACAAGGTGCTGATAGGTAGTCTGAGGTATCTGATATCAAAGGCTCACCGACCGGTCCTGCAATTCCCTCACATTGGGAGAAGGTAGCGTGGCAGCACGAATTTGGTTTTCCAAGTAGGATCACAAATGTTCTAATGGATTAAGGTCGGGTGAATTTGGGGGCCAAGACATGACTTGAAAGTCACTGGAATGTTCCTCGAACCAATCCATGAAGATTCGACTCTTATGATATGGTGCATTATCCTGTTGGTAAACACCACCCCCCGCAGGAAAAACTGTTGCCTTGAATGGGTGAACCTGGTCTGCAACTATGTTCAAGTAGCTTACAGACGTCAGGGATTGTTCTATGAGGATTATGGGCCCTGATGTTCCCCATGAGAACATTGTTCCTGGGCGAGAAACCATGAAAAGCTGGGCGAGCCCATTGTAATAGATGGTGGGTGGTCAGAATGTAATGGCTCTTCGGTGTAGATATGTATATAAGTATGTATGCATGTACGTACCGCAATTATGGTTTTAAAATTCAATCTTCAATTATTTTTTTTTCTTATTACGACAAAAGCTCTTGTTTTAAACTGACTGATAAAATGATTAATTGTTTAAAAGTATGAAGTTTAAATTCTCATTCTGTCAGACAAAAATAGCAAGAGAGCTTAAAATATTCTTCCTTCCCTTTGACACCCTTCGAAAAATAGTTTCGAAATTCACTCTTATAGGAGACAGCTTTTGAAAGAGAATAATGAAATTAGATTTCCAAACGCAATTACTCTTTTTTTATTTTCTCTCTGCTGAAGAGATTTTCGTTTCTTCTTACGCTCATCAACTCATTTAATGATTTCAACTCTCTCTCTCCTTTGTTACTCTATGAGACTGATTGAAGAATACGAACTTTTAAAGATAGTAATTATTTTAACTGAAATAAAGAGGAGAGAAAAATCCTATCATAAATCCTGTAACTAATAATTTTAAATGTTTCTCTGTTCGTACAGTAGAAATAATTTATTCTGTACGATGCTATTAAAAAGGAAACACGAAGTAAGTAATTAACCATGGATAAAAATATTCCAACCTTTTAAGATAATTTAATTAATAACTATCCTGTAATTAATCCAATAATTAAATACCGATCGTTGTACACTAATAACTTATATTACGCAAACTAATTTATTTACTGTTTACCCAAAACCATACCTACTTTATTTATTTTTATTTATTTATTTTTTGGGGATGAATAAAATCGAATGTTATCTTTAGCTTTAAAAAATAATTAACTTTAATGAGAATTGAAACTCAACGAATTTTGAATAACTTAACTACTTTCAATGCCTTAAAATGTTCTTTACAAATTATTATAAATGTTTTCTCGCATTCTACCGTTTAAATGGTGTTATATTTAAAAATGATTCCTTAAAAATAATTTCTAAATAACTTAGGAGATAAAAACCATTGTTATCTTAAAATTACATTTATAAATTTAAGACTGTTTTAATAAATTTAGTGCATTTTCAATATATATAAGCAATAATGCATAAATTTCTGAAGTAGTCTCAAATCTTAGTAAACCCTTAAATCACAATTCGAAATTTTATTTTATATTTTCATTTTATAACCGTCTTTGAACAACCGACACAATTTTTGGGCTTACGTCTACCCATGTTTAACTATGTAGTCTTGTTATTTTGAACCCAATCCAGAAGACAAGAATACTCCTGAATCAAGTATTGGGAGAAATTTTGCCTTTTTTTATGGAACTAACCCACATTTGCGTTACATGGAGAGGAAGACCATGAAAACTTCCAGCGGTAAGCCTGATGGCAAGGGGGACTCTAATCCAAGATCCGACTACCACTGAAAATATTTTACTTCAGCACTGTGGTCGGTGCAAGCCGGATGCGGAATTCGTATCCACTGGGATTCGAACCCGGCTCGCCTCATTGGAAGGCTAACGTACTATTCCCTGAGTCATCGCGGATCTACTTTAAAGATTTGGAGACAAAAAAAACCTCATTAACCGTGTGGCAAGCTCAAATAAATCATGGAAAAAGCTGTGATCTGTTAATAGAAGTACCAAATTTATAACCGATAACACTTTTTTTTCATAAAATTATGTCTCTCTTTATCCTATAAAGCTAAAAAAGTGGTGTGAAAATTTTCTATGAAATTAAATAATATAAAAAAATGAAGCGATAGTTGTTTCTGGATCCATTAAAAGATGTTGCCTAATCTATATACTTTCTTAAATATTTTCATATTAAATATGCCACATTTAATCCATATAAGACCTTCAGCGGTTGCCATTAGGTACTTGTTATTTGCTGAAAAAATTGTGAAACTTTTCTGCTAACAAATAGGAAAAGGACAATTCTCCACATTTTTTTGATATCTAGAATAATAACTCTTTGGGGAGAATGATTAAAAACAATTTACTGAATTAAAAATGCAAATTAAGTTTTAATTTACTCAATTACATTGTGTCTGAGAAATTTCAGTCGCCAGATTCAATTGAAAAATTTTCAATGATATTTTACGCCTATTTCGCGCCAGGTCACTGTTTTTTTTTCCTCTTTTTTTTAATTTTTTTCATACGAATTTTTTTTTTTTAATATTTGGAAATAAGCTACATCTCTAAACCAAATGTTGATCAAAGATGTAGATACTTTCGAAAAGAATTAAAACATTATGCAAACATTTAGTATTTTTAGGTTATAACATGCTTAATTTTTTGCATTATTTTTTTGGATCAAGTTAGTAGTAGAAAAAAATAATACTGTGATCTAGAGAGATAAAAATAGCGAAAGGATAATTCAAACCAAAGTCGGAATTGCATCGAATTTAAAAATCTTTCTCTCACAGAATGTAAACAAGATATCTTTTGCGAAGGAAAGGATTTTTCTATGGAAAAGAAGAGGAGGATTACTTGAGAAAAGTTGAGTGAATTGAGAGGAAGACACTGTTCCTCCACCCTCTCCACAGCCGCAGTCTTCTTTTTCATTCTCTCTGCCTCCTGAGTGAGGTACAAGTCTAGGACGGGAACACCCCTCGATCGAACATCACTCTCGGTCAAGGAATTCACCATCAACATCACCCACACTGGTCGCTTTCTCTCCCACTCTCCTGTAACAAACATTGTTTTTTTTTTAATTTAATGGTCTAGTCATTATCTACATTGTCTACAGATTCTTTAAATTCTCCTAATTTTTTTTCTTTTTCGAATTTTGAATATTTCCTTTAGACGTATGTAAGTCAATCATTTTCTTCAGACACTTTCCTTTTTCCCAAAACATAATGCACACTCGCACTGCTAAATTATCACACTCAATTATAATTTTACTTCCAACAAGTTGTAAAATAAAACAGACAATACTTAAAATATTTTTTGCGATATCGACACATATAAAGAATAATTTTTATCATAGTATAATTATTCTTTATTCAGAAATATCGCATTAAATTATTCCAATAGATGTGTCCTGAGGAAGACTATTGGATTTTCCCTTTTATAGTTTTCTCTTTATATTATTTTATTTCATTTTGTTATTTGTGTCTATATATATATATATATATATATATATATATATATATATATTTCTATATATATATATATATATATATATATATATATATATATATATATATATATATATATATATATATATATATATATATATATATATATATATATATATATATATATATATATATATATATATATATATATATATATATATATATATATATATATATATATATATATATATATATATATATATATATATATATATATATATATATATATATATATATATATATATATATATATATATATATATATATATATATATATATATATATATATATATATATATATATATATATATATATATATATATATATATATATATATATATATATATATATATATATATATATATATATATATATATATATATATATATATATATATATATATATATATATATATATATATATATATATATATATATATATATATATATATATATATATATATATATATATATATATATATATATATATATATATATATATATATATATATATATATATATATATATATATATATATATATATATATATATATATATATATATATATATATATATATATATATATATATATATATATATATATATATATATATATATATATATATATATATATATATATATATATATATATATATATATATATATATATATATATATATATATATATATATATATATATATATATATATATATATATATATATATATATATATATATATATATATATATATATATATATATATATATATATATATATATATATATATATATATATATATATATATATATATATATATATATATATATATATATATATATATATATATATATATATATATATATATATATATATATATATATATATATATATATATATATATATATATATATATATATATATATATATATATATATATATATATATATATATATATATATATATATATATATATATATATATATATATATATATATATANACTTGTATTTATTTATTATGGGCCCATCCTTGGTAACTAACAAATCAAACGCACTTCAGTAAAGCAGCAGTAAGAACACACTTTAAAACAAATCTCCTCTAGATACGCTTTTATCTCAATTTGCACTTTTGTTTTCATATTTTGCAATCTGGCAATCTTGTTACGAAAATATTTTAAATCATTCTTGAAAAATTTCCCGTTCATGTAAGTTCATTTGATTTCGCTACTCGCTTTATAGATTATGTTTTACGTTTTATTCTGTTTTTTATTTGTATTTTATTTTCTGTCTTTACGTGTCATTTTTAGTTATTGTGTTCAATTTTATTTGTTGTAATTTTTGTAAAAGTTTTTTGAGTGCTCCTCACACTATTGTATTGATGTATTGATATATTTTGCTTTGGCTATATTGATACAATAATTAAAAAAACTTTTTTTTGCTGAAATAATCGTGTGGGCTGATGAAAAGATTATATTTTTTATTTTCCGGATTTTTTAAAAGAATTCTATCCTTTTTTTCGGAATTTTTTCCCCTCCAGTTTCTGTTACTTTTATTTTTAATATTACTTTTCTTTTTCCGCCTTTTTTCATTAGTCAGTAATTTTCCTTTGTTTTATCTTCAATTCGATTTCACAGAACCCCAGAAAGGAAAAAAAAATTCAGTTTTTGCATCCAAGTAAATTAATCTTGTCTACTCATCCAAATTTGCAAAGTTTCAGCAAAATTGAATGTTGTTAGTTTCAATAGCTTGAGTTTTATGAAATAAGAATTACCTAATATTTTCGACTTTTCGTCGAAAATATTAGATTTCTAAGAGACGTTACGAGTGATAGCAACGCAAATGTTTTTATACATTAAATCCATCTAGACTGAATGCAATCTACCATTCAAATACTAATTTTCTTAAACTAGTAAAACTATAAAGAGCGTAATATTTTTTATCTTATACTTATAGATTAATCTATGTAATTTTCCTTATAATCAAAAACACGTTAAATCAGCGCTACGACGCATCTCAATTCGTTATTAAACTTGATATATTAGCAATATTAGCAATTATTCTGAGCTCATTTATCTATTACCCATTCCATGAATAATTGCATAGAAAATTGCCTTGCACAAAACGCACGTATTTGTGAAAGATTATATGCACTGATTAAAATAAACGCTCCATTCGAAACTATGAATATAATTACCTGCAATGGCGTTGAACAGATAATCAGCGTACAAGCCTCTTCCTCTCTGATCCGCTGTCATCCAGTGTGGCATCATTTTACGAACGTATTCTAAATGCTTTTTTAACCTACTGTACAAATCACCTACAAAATGGAAGCAACAGAAAACAATAGTTACTTGATGGATATTTTTTTAACACTAAACACACCAACACTTAATGTATACCTATTTCTAGCATAGCCGGACTTTATGTCTCTTGATTAAATGTATGAAATATGGATGTTAGGAAGGAAATAAACTAAAAAAAACTTTATTATAATGAAACAAAATTGTGTATTGCCAATTTTTATGAATTACAAACACAAGGGATAAGAGTTTTTATTTCATTGCTCAGCTCATTTTTTACATATACGAAGTGTTTCTATTGTACATTTTCAGCAAACATATTTCTTCTAATTATTATTATTTCTATAATTCTTATAATTATTCTTATAATTATAAGAATATATAAGAATTATAATTCTTATAATTATTCTAGTAATGCATTTATATGATTGATATTATTTCTTATAAGAACTTATGCTGTCTTGATTGTTTCGACATTTTTCTGGGTCAAAACTAACATTTAATTAGAATTGAAGTAAAGCTAACAAAATAAAATGTAAGCTACTTACCAAAACATTCAGTTTTTGTCACTTTTTTCTTACACAAAAAATGCCTATCTAAAATTTTAGGTACTTCCTTGAAATTTGAATTCACAGTTATTCTGATTGAACTGACTACGAAATAGTCTCTGCAGAAATGTGCAACTCATCGAATGTAATACGTTGAACAGCAACTACATCGTCATTTCTGATCCGATAACCATTTAAAGCAATAAATTGTTCTCCCGGTCAAATGACGGGTTGTGGTAGAAATAGGTATACGACAAGTATTATTCGAAACAAACAAAATACCAAAAAAATAATAATAATAGAATATTAACAGTTTGTAATTGATAGAAGAAGTCATGAAGTCAAATGTGCAAAAACGATAAGACGATAAGCGCACTTTCGATGCAAAAGTTCTTGAACGGTCATTTGACCCGTTATGGTATGTTTAGTGTTAAGGAAACAGGAACATTATGCAGGAATATTTCATATGTGAAAATGTCAAAAACAATCAAAGTAACTACTTATCCAAAGGGATTCTGAACCATCTGCAAATAAAAACATTTATATTTGAACAGCACAAATTTAGGAGAATTTTTTTACATGTTGGCGGTCGATTTCAGAAAAAAGTTTGTCCGAAAAGTATTGTTAATTAGTTTTCCGAGAAACGCGTTGGAGCGTACTCGAACCGGTAGGGATCGGTAGAGGAAAGATTCAAGTATAGTTTGTCTACGGTAAGAACTCTCCTCGCTGCAAAGTCTGACGCAGTCTGTTGCTATGGCAACAAGAATAGCGCATTTCAAGGAGGGTGGTTTGTCTTCGCTCTAGGGCAAACACAATAGACCGAAGAAAAAAAGTCCCTGTCTCTTGCCGATACGAGCCAAAACCTATCCTAAACAATCCCACCACACCTCTACTTGAAATATAGCTCGTTCACCAGGAGTTGTCACATGGCTCCGCCCTCATCACGTGGTATGGGACGATACTATTTCACTATTTTAGGGAGAGGGTTGTGAGCAATCCTGAACAAGGTTACTATTTGGCGATCGCATGGCCAACATATTTATTTCGCAATCTTTATCTGTATTTTTTTAACATTGAATATTTCATAAATTTGATGATATTTCGCGCCATTTTTTATGGTATTTCTCTGTTTTGAGTGAATAATTTGTCCTTTTTGAGACATTTTGCATTGAGACATTTCGCATTAGGGGTTGTCTCAATTTCAAGGGAGGGCGGAGATGTTTCTCTTCTTACTCCCGCGCTGAAATAAACTAAGCGTCCGAGGAGGTGGAGCCAAGTGCCAACTCCTGGTGAACGAACTATAGTTATATCTCGTTACCATAGTCACCGTCACGGGTCGTGACGAATAGTTAGGGGCTTTAGGCAGACTATAACTCATCACTTTTAGCCGTTTCCGACCTCGTGAAACTTGTTTTTATCTCCCGCGAAAGCTGTAATAGGGCCCAAAATAATAAAATGATCTGTGGCTTACCATGATAATGACTTAGCCAGATTTGTGACAGGGGTGCAAACTCGAGATGGAATTGCTTCTGGAATATGGTAAAATAATTTCTGGTCAAAAAATAAATGATGATAGCCGAATAGTTTTAAATAATTTTCTTCCAAACATTTTCTTACTTTTTCTTTCTGTTAGTGATCTTCATTAACCAAGAAAAACACTCTTTTGCAACGGTTAAAGATTTTCCCCACGTATTATTCCCCTAGACTGAAAACACAAATCAAGGTCTGCGTTCGGAATTTGTTCTTGAGTTACATTCCATTTTCCTTTCATCTCAAACTCGCCATTGTCTATGGGTTCTCCAATTTCAAAGACATGCGTTATCCCCACCCTCTCAAGGAGGTTTATATTACATTTAATCAAAGATGTTATTTTGTTCTTATTGCATCAAGTTTAGCACCAATCGAGCCATCCCTTCCCAATAAAAAGAAAATAAATCTGAACATAAAAGAAAAAAATCTGTTTTCCAAGAAAAAATGGTTCTCTTAGTTTTTAGTGCCATCTTTCTCACATTCCTAAGCAACATATAGATCCAGGCCGGGATAGCCTGGTTAGTAGGGAGTAGGGCCCATGTCCAAGAGATCCCCCTGAGTTCGATCCCAGACGATCGATGACTCCCCGTGTAGTAAATAGTGAGTGGTGCACGTTAAATCTGTCTTGTCACTAAGTCCTCAATGGTCCCATAACAAATCATACCTCTAGGGGTATTGAATTTGAGATTGATAGTTCTCTGGTTTGGGTCAGAATAGCGATCTGTGGAAGAATGAATGCATGAATGGGTCTGCGGCTTTAAAATATAAACGGGCTTTAAAATATTAAATTGACAGTTTACGTAGTGCTTTTTTACCTAATTTTTTCCTCACATGATTAATAAAATGGTTTTAAATATTAATATTTTCATATCGGCTTTTCAAAAAAAAAATTAAAGAACTCGCATTTTGAAAAAACTTTTAGATTTTGAAAAGTTAGTAAATTTTATATTTCTTAAGGGAACACTATGGACTCGTTACGTAGTTACGCCAACAAAAATAATCGCCGTCATTTACACTATGATTTAAAATCTAGGAGTGTCCTAATAGGCAAATTAACTAGTGATATAAAACGGCCTCCGGTGATGGTAGTTTATCCATATGCCAACACCGGTATAATTCATACTGTAAAAGCAGAAAAGCATTGAGGGACATTGTTAGACTAATAGCGACTGACGAAAGTGACTGAATTTTTATTGCTTAGTCTTAGTGTTCATTTAGCATTACAAACAGACATTAAATTCGAAAAAGTACCATTCCATTCACACGATTCTAAGGAACACTCTAAACGTGTGTGAACATAGCGATTGCCACTCTACCTTCCTTGTGGCTAACTTCCTGGAAAAATCAAAGATGCCAACGATACCTCAGCTGCCCTACAATTCTGACATGACTTTCCAAGCTTATGCTTATTTCTGTGCAGAAAAACTCATCCTTCTGAAAGTACATTATTCTGGCACTACTGACACCATCAAAAGGGCTTGCAAAGGATCGTAAAAGATTTTTTAAAAAAAACATACTGGAAAAGAATTACCATGTCTCCTTCAACGCCTGTAAATCTTGCTGGAAGCAATATAACGACGAAGTTTCTTTTACCTTTTAATAGGGTGAACCCATCGGATCAATAGATGCTGTTTTTAGTCCACTCACTGTCGTTGCTTTCTGACATATCCCGCATCTTACTCACATAACGTGTCCCAGTGGACATATAAGACATAGTTCCCAGTAGATCACCGAAGGCTAACATCACTGGCAGCGGTCAGTGAGCGAGTGGGTGACCATTTTGAGCAGCCAGCGAAGAGACCAAGGGTGTGTAATTTTTTGTTTCTCGAAGCAGTGCTCAAATTCGCACACAGTTTGTCAGGCTACCAAATCGGGGAAGTCATCTCCTGTGGAGAGGATCAAAATTGTGATAGCATGTCTTCGGATCATTCTCATGGATACTTTCCAGACCTTCACCAATAGCCCATTGTGTAGCTCTAGTAAGAAGTATATAAATTACTACTATTACTATTGAGCTGCGATGGCTCAGGGGATAGAATGTTTGCCTTCCAATGAGGTGAACCGAGTTCGAATCCCAGCGATGGCCGACTTGCACCGATAACAGTGCTGATGTAAAATATCCTCAATGATAGGCAGATAATTTTTATCCCTTAGTTAGAGTTCTCTTGCTGCCAGGCTAACCGTGAGAGGTTTTCGTTTCCATGTAACGCAAATGTGGGTTAGTTTCATCAAAAAACTCCTCCACGATAGCTAATTTCTTCCAATGCTTGATTCAAAAGATACCTTGTCTTCAGGATCGGGTTCAAGGCTACAGGGTTGAACATTAGTAGTTGTAAACCCAAAATTGATTTGGCTGTTTAACAACAGCTATAAATACATAAATAAATACTATCACTTCACAGAACGTACGAAATTGGCATGCATACCTGGCAGGACATCTGAGAGGTTCTTTCCCTGTGGCAGCATCTGGCAGGATGAGAGTGCAGAGACCGTCATGGGGTTGACGAGATCCAGCTCGAAGTAGACCTGTGTGCTGGATATGAAGGCCTCTTTGGCGTTCTCCGGAATGTAGTTCCAAACTTTCGTGTATGGAACGTGAATGGTCCCGAATAAATAGGAGGGTGGATCACGCTTTATTCGCCAAAGGAAAGAAAATGGCTCATCATTCTTCTGCAAAAGAAAAGGATAGATTTTAGAGGTCAATGCATAATATATGGAAGAGAGCCTCCTCAAATCAAAATGTTTTATGGTTTTTTATTGATGGATAAACATAATATTGATGGTAACCATTAATAATTCAATCATGAACCATTATATTTTTTGATGGAAACCAACATAAGCAACCATCACCCCAATGTAGGAATTCGGACTGATTTATGATGAGCCAACATTAAAAGAAAATGTTTTATTGCTATATCCCCGCTGAATTATCACGAATTATTATTTTTTATTTCCAATTAGCTGCGCAATTCGTCTTGCCGATGAGCAGACCTAGTGCGTTCTCCAGAGGTGGTATCCACTCTTTCAGGACCACCACAATGGGTGAGATACCGTTGGTCATGTTAATTTGGACGTCTAGTTTCTGCTACACTAGATGGCAGCACCGAGATGGATGCTAAAGTGCACTAGGAATTTAATTTTGCCGGAAATGCCAAGAGTCAATAAGGCACTCCAGGGATCTTTTACATGCCACATAATCATACGACATGGCCGCTGAGGATTTTCTGCATCCCGATAATCCGGAGTCTGGGCCGGGGATCGAATTATTACAAGGGCTATTTCTTAAATAAGGACCGTTTGAAAATAAAAATCAAATGAATGAAAATTTTCATCAAGCAAATTTTTTTTGATTCTACATAAGTTTCTCTTTTTTTTTCAAAATAGTTGTCAATTTTGCTTAAACACTTATCATACCTTAGATTTAGAATCATATCACACCTTAGATTTGCAACTAGATTTAGAATACCCTCTTCATAGTAACTTGCCGCCAGCTCCGATATTCAAGAGGTTACGACCGTTTTCACGTCTTCGTAAACGTTGTACTGGTTGCCGGCAAAACGATGTTTAGAACATCGGAAAAGATGAAAATCACTTAGCGCAAGGTCTGGGTTGATGAGAGGTGATCCAAAACTTCCCAGCCGAAGGAGCCAAACTCGGGACTGAGCCGTGGAGAGAGTCGTTGTCATGAAGTAGCGAAATTTTCTGTCAGCATGACAGTAGGAAGCTTCGTAAGCTTCAGAAATCTGTCGGTGAACGTATACAGCAGACAGGCTTTTTGCCGACTAAAAACGCTTCACTGACCGTACCTCATGTGGCGGGATATTTGCTAAATTTGTACATTTTAAAGACACAGAACTAATGGCACAGGATACACACACGGCTGTAACTGAGAACAGTTGTTCCTAATGAATGCCGAGATATGCCGCAAGTACTCGTTGCGACGCAATCGTCATCTATTAGTGTACACAACAAAACAGACCTTAATTAAAAGCAGCCCGCGTATTAAATGGAAATGTATTGTTGCACCTTTATGAACTTTAGTGTCTTATAAATCAAATGTTGGAACGATCATGAACAACCATCATCTCAATGTAAGAATTCAGACTGATTTATGCTGGTGCAACATGAAAAAATCAAATTGTTTTGAGGGTATATTCTTGAGAACCAACAAGAAATCCCATTTAAACATCACGGAAATGTATAGTTGGAACTATCATGGACCATCACGAATCGTCAAGGATTTTTCTTCCATGAGATGCTTCTTTTGATGGTTGACCATTATAGTATAAAAGTAGCAGTTTCCGTCTTGGAATGATGGAAGCTTGCTGGCATATCAAAAATCATGAACACATAACGAAAAATGTTGGATGATGGTGACAGTCAAATAATGTTGGACCATCATGAATCGCACAGAAACCAACATAAACCATCAAATTTTTTGATGGGACCATCAAGAATTTTGAATTTGTTCTATCACGTCTAAGCAAGAAAAATAATCAATAACCTATTATAAAATCTGAAGCAGTAAAGGAAAAAAATAGAATTTCAATCTTGAAGAAAATTTTTTTTTAAAAAAACAGACAAATATGTTCAAACCTCAAAGAAAGTAGCAAAGTGATGTTTTATCACAGTAAATTTCAAATTTCAATTAGAATTAAATAAATATAAAAAAAAAACTAATATCAGAAACAGCTACTTCTAATCGATGCAGATTAATCGCCAGCGTCACTCGATCAACATTTTAATCATTTGATCAATATTTCTTCATTGAAAATAAAATTCAATATGTATACATATTTGAGTTAACGGTACAATGCAAAGTACCGTATAGAAAAGGAAATGATTAATCATTTTACTTTGAGCCCATGATCTGTATTAATGGAAAGATATTTAAAGATAAATTGATCATTTTAACTCTGTATTCTAAATGATTTTCCTACGATGGTCAAGAGCCACAAAGCTGAGGGCACGATTCCAATTTCCAAAAACCGTAAATACATTACCAGGAAATTTCTGGCTTTTCCCCTTCAACCTCTGGAGAAAGAGATTCTGTGAAATGAGGTTAAAGCGTGCCCATCGAGCCAGTAAAGCTATTCATCTTTATGGTCATCCTTCTTATTTGTGTTGTGGACTTATTTATCATTCTCATTATACGTATATATATATATCACACGAGAGAAAAGTTAGAGCAACCCTAAATGTAGCCTCCACTCTATCCTCAACTCTAAAGGCAATTTCGGAGTTGCCGATGGGGTTGCTTAATTGCTCAAACGGCTGATAGTAGTTATAGGGTTACCATTTTTTATTACTTATCTTAGTTTTTGACTAATATTATTACATTTTCATGTGCAATGTTTCCAGAAATCATACGGCAACCTTTTGTCGCAATTTTCTTTTTATTCTCACGGAAATGTTTGTACTAAAAACCTTTTTTAAATGAAGAAAAAATATTGCAGTTTCAAACCTTTCATCCTAAAAGGACTAAAAAATTATTTTTCAAAGCTTCTTTAAAAAGTATTCTCACTTAGGTAAAATGATCGCTTAGGTCCAAAATGACGTTTTAGCTGACGTTTTTACTAGCGGTAGAATCAAATTGCATTGTCCATTAAAATTTCATGACAAGGTGGATTTTAGCTGAGCATGCAAGACCTTGCGAAGAGAAACTTTGTAATTACGTAGATTTAAGATTATTTTCACCTTGAGACTAGCTTTATGAAAAGAATTTTTCACGCTTGAAAACCCTAAGCCAACCTCGATTTAAGGTTTTTATACAGAAGATTGTTTTCCAAGGTTTTGAATTAGAGTAATGTGGGTAAAATAGAGCAGATGGTTAAGGTTAGAAGGTTAACACGTAAACAGCATAACAGAACGTTTTAGGTTTACATTAAAAGGTTTTTGTGGAGTTAAAATAAACCTTATTTTGCTATCTAGGTATTGTCTCATATTTTCTCAACGATGCTTGTAAAGGAAGGAAAAGTAAATCACAGACGCTCTAGAATTTATAACCGTTCAATTTTCCGTATTAACTTAAGTAATATAATGTATTTACTCAAAATTTCAACCAATCATCTCATCAACGTCCGCCATTTTTATTTACATTTGTTAACGTCATCACATAGAATTTAAGCGTCATAAAAATCAAACGATCTGATTGGTGCAAACGTGAGTTGCATTTATTTATAGGCAATTTTTCTCTCGCGCAACTGTGATTTCTATATCACACGAGGATTTTCGAGCAATTTTTTTAGTAAGTAGAAGATACGATTGCGCTTATGGTTGACTTGCCGGTTTCATTGCCGATAATTTTGATATACTTATTAAACTTTTGTTTATGATTGCAACTGTTAAAATTTTAAATAAATTCTCTATTTTCAATTAATTGTTTTCTATGACAGCCCCTATCAGTATATCTCATTAGAGAGTGTGTGCTATCACTTGTCATGCGTAATAAATGTTACCATAAAGCAAATCATAATGATGAAATAATTACAAATTTTGCATGTTATGATTAAACGTTCGAGGCAGAAATATGTTATCAACTGATACACCATAATAGCTGCAATGCTTTTCTAAAATTGTGCTTAAAATGCCACAAAAAAACGCATGGATTTAAATAGCTATTATGTTACATATGCGTTTTAACATATATGCTAAATATTGCTAACAACATAATCAATATGTTTCTAAACAATAAGTTTGTTTCTAAGGAACTTCAACTTGCTGAGCGCATTAATTGCAGTTAATTTGTTAATTGTCAAAAAGTTTATATAGTTAAAAAAAGAGAGAAAAGTAATAACTAAAGTTCCTATTTGCAGGGAATTTTTCAACGTATTTACAAAGATTAAAATCGCAAATCACTCCGATAGTATTTTGTTTTATTTCACTATAGATGAGCTGCGAAGGTTGCTAATGGCTTCAATTTCGACATCAAAATTAGTTGTTGGAGAACGGACGAAAAAAAACAACTTTACAGTTGAGAAATAATCTCTTTCATTAAACAGAGAGCTGTCTGTGTAAATGTAGCAGAAAATTTAAAAGAGGAAGAAAGTAAAACTTGAAATTACTAAAACGTTAAACAAATTTTTTTCTCAAATTTAATAAATCGAATAAAGAGAGGCCTCAGACATATCCAGTTGAAAGGGGCAACTTATATAACTAATAATTACTCTAAAGCATTTACTAGATTACCAGTATTGCTTCCATTAATAAATTATATGTTTCATTCGGTAGACACTTTCTGTAAGAAAACAATTCAGGAAACATAAATCACGATTTTTAATCAAATTTATTAATGACATTTCAGAAAATTTAATATATAAATTTTTAATTGAAAATTAATATTGTTTCTTTGAGACCAGGAGAAAAACTATTCTCGCACTATCTCTATTGCCCACAATTAATTAAGTACTACTAATAGTTTGGTTACTTATTTACTGCACCTGAAATGGAAGAGTATCATAATTCCTTCATACATCAACACAAAAATGAATTTATGAGACTTAAATTGTAATGAATTTATAAATCTTTTCAGTGCTTTATCCTTCTAATTAAAATTATATATACACATCTGTTCTTCTTCTCCAGTAATACCATTGGGGTGTCACTTTTCATGAAAGTGACACTTTTCATTTTTTCATTCTCATTGAAGATATTACTTCATTATTGCTTCA